GCCGCCTGCCCTGGCTCCGCTTCCTAGGGGGGCGCCCGGGCCCCCCAGGGCCCCTCTGAAATAAACCCCTGGGGATGCTGAGAGGGGCCAGGCCTGGTTTCTTCCACACCGGTTTGCTCATCCCTGCAGGGATGCCCCTGGGAAGGGAGAGTCCCCTGGGACTCTGCCAAGCAGATCCCCAATGGGGCCAGCTTCCGCGCTCCTGAAGGCTGGGGAAGGGACGAGGCTGTGGTGGAGGTTTGGGGGTGACCTCCCTTGCCCCCCCTGATCCCACACACCCCCGTGCTGCCGAGGGCTGTGGTCCCACAGCGGGATCCCCGGGCTGGGGGCAGGCCTGGCACCACTGCCTGCCGAGGGGGCATCGCCAGTGAATTTGGGAATCCTGCTGGCTCTGGGGATGTGTCGGGAATGAGTGACCATGCACAGTTTGATTTGGGGGCAGTTTAGAATTTCCTAGTGGCAAATCACAGGATCCGACTGTGCTGTTTTCATAGCGCTCGATCATCGGTCGATGAACAACGTGATCAGACAGAATCAGAACAGCAACTTAGGTAAAGGCTCGAAGGTGGCAGGGTTCGCTCTGTGACTGCATGGGAGAAGAACGCAGAGGAAAATGAAGTCGCACACACGTTAGAAGGATTCACGGTGAGATCATGGGTGTGGGGAACAAGGGGGACCTTCCCGTTGCGTCACTGGGTTTGGAGTGCCTGCCCGGCCATGCACTTCACACCTCCGCGCGAGATCGTGGGTGTGGGGAACAAGGGGGACCCTCCCGTTGCATCACCGGGTTTGGAGCAGACCCCCTGGCTTTGAACTCATCTGCAGAGTGGGGTCCGGGGGCAGCCGGGTCCAGTCGTAGTCCCAGCCGTGGTCACCGGTTGGTACCCGAGGATGATCTCTAGATATCCAGTAGCAGTAAAAGGCTGGCTTTGCAATTAAATCACATCTGCAAACTGCTGGAACTGATCCACGCCTGCGTACCCACGCACATGATCACAGATATTTATAGATATAAAGGCAGACCTGTTAAACTTCCCCTCGGGGTCAGTGCAAATGTCCCAGCGTCTCTCAGCAGGCAAGGGTTGAGCCTTGAGGAGTGAAAGGCTTCAGCCTGGGCTCCGCTGTCAGTCCTCGGCGATGGATCTCCAGTTTTAGCAAACTTCCAACAGTTTGCTGCTCCGAGTGGTGTCCCACTTCAAGGGAGATGCTGGGCACAGCCCCCTGCAGTCCAGGGGAGCTCCGAGGGCCTCGCTCAGGAGGAGGTTTCATAGGATCATGGGAAGATTGGCTTTAGTCAGCAGCACATTCCCAGTCTGGGCCACAGCCCGGGTTGGTAACCACTGGAATTCCAGTAACGATGGTACCGCACCACTCAGGCTGGGGTTCGGATAAGGTGTGCTCTGAGGCTCTTGGTGGGGGGGATAACTGATTGTTGCCATCCTCACTCCCTGCTCCGGCCATGTAGGAGTTTCAGGTACGGACAGTGTTGCCCCGTCACCTGGCTCCTTACACCAAGGCCAAGGTCTTATGATTTTGGAAGCTCCCATCAAGCAGAGAAATCCAGCAGCAATCCAGCAGAAAAGAGGGGGGGAGGGGGGGGTGTGTGCACCACCACGAGCTTCTGGGCCCCAGAGACGGATGCAAAGATGAAAATCTCATTGAGATTTAGATTGGAAAACGCTGGCAAGCAGGGGGTGGCCCTTTGGTACTTCCCAAAGGCTCCCTCCAAGCAGCAGACTCGTTGGAGGTCCCAGGCCACGCGGGCATCGAGGTGGCCCTTTCTGTCCTTCCCTGGCACTCCAGGGGAGCAGGACATTTGCCAGCGGCTTTCTGGTCC